GCGCATAAGAAAAACCAGAGAACGGGATATTTCGAATTCAGTGCAACGAACAAAACCTCTGAGTTAATACACTTTGGGAATAAAGGTTTTCTACATTTCGAAAAGAAAAACAAATGACGGTACACAACAAACATGAAATGTCGTGTGTGATATAACAATTAATTCCTTAATTAAACTTTCCGAAGTAACGCAAGTTTCCTAACGCTTCTGTAATAATAGTTTCGGTTGTCAACAATTGAATTCGAAAGGACTAAGCAATTTATCGCAACTTCTGCAACAATTCGATCATCCTTTTAAAAATCGATCATACTCATTCTGCTTCACGACGTTTTCGCAGCGGGAAAAAAAACTGCTACAAACATAACAATGGGATGCAGGTCAGAGAAATATCTTTCGGAAGCAAATAAGTAAAGTGAGAGCACGGCTGATTTGCTTTACGTTCTGTCTGAGGACGTCCTAGAACTGACCGTCCATTCTGTCACCCGTACGAAATGTCTTTCAGCAAAACTAGAAAAATTGCATACAAATTTACGTCCAGGTAAGGACTTTCTTGAAAGCTACGAAGGGCCTTAGTGTAGGAAGGGAAATGTCGTATCAACCATTTGAAGCCGAAGCTCGTGTAAATTATATTTAAGAATTCAGCCCGTACCGCGAAGAAAACACAACTCTTCACCATTACATCGATCGACTGGTTAACGCTGTTTAAGGAACTAATCGATGTTTATACTGAGACTCATATGAAGCATATAAATACACTCTGCGAACAAAATACATCGTTGCTGGTTATTAAACTTGGTGGTAAATATAGTTACCACCGAGCTTTAAGGGGTTAAGTCTATTAATTAAACGAAACGATATTAAGATACTGACCGCAAATGTACAGCAAACATCAGAATTTAAATAAATTTTTGTTTAGCCCCAAAACGTTTGTTCCATTCCATGGCCCACCCGATTAATATACACAATCAATATCTTTTGGGAAGAACTCAACACATCTACTCAATTTAAATCAGGGGTTCTCAACCCTAATATATTTGGTGGGGCACAGACTATGTAACTATCCATGTATTTTTCTCCATTCTGCTACTTAACCTCTGTAGGGTCAGTATCCTCAACACTTCGAACCTGAGTTCTTACAAGATACACAATTTTCACATCGATATAAAACAACGGACAAAGTTACGGGCGGTTCTTTAATTTTTAATCTTCCTATTTTTTTTTAAATGAAAAACAGAGGACAAAATATTTTTAACTGAAAGGTAGAAAACATTCCCCAGATCTGATGTGCTCTGGACTACGTCATGAGCGTAAATTTGGTTTGAACGTATTTAAAACGGAGAGCAAACGTGTTGGATGGGCACGCTTGAGATGATCAGGACCGCAGAAATGGCATCGCGCTACGGCGGCAACGGAACGAGTTAAGTTTGCTGACGACGACAGCTCATCACTCGGGATGCTGTGGTGTTGCAGCGGTGACAGACAATCACTAGTGCGGTTACGACCCGCAGAACTTGAGAACTCATCTCTCGTCCAACGTTCCCGACGCATAAGAGACTATTTGCGTATGGCAAAAAGACACGTTATTTGGAAATCTCGCCGACTCTTAAAGATCTCACAAAATCAGCACAAAACAAGAAACCAGAGATTTAAGGTTCTCTCACAACGGATAGGATTTGTGCGTCGTGACAAAAATCATAGTTACGTACTATCAACGAATTAAAACCTGATTTCGAAAGATTACTCAACCATAAGCAGGGTTAAATTCCCCACCGACTGAATTTATTAAAGAAGATTACTGGATAATTTGTGAACATTTTACATTAGTGGGACAAATTTAGTAGCATTTTTAATGAACTGCCATGGCGTATAAATAAAATATCCTCATGTGAACTGGGCTTCGACTCTTACGCCTTCAAACTCGTCCTACGTTGCTATGAAGGCAATGCATAGTAACGACTTTATCTTCCCGCTGATGCCAATTCATTTTGAACCTGTGCATTACGTTTTAAAACCGCGTCCCTTTTACGCAACTAAGTACATACTCAAAGGTAAATTTAATGGAAAATGAATTGATATTCACTGCAACGAGATTTTCAAGTTTTTCTGGGGCATGCACACAGTAAACAGATTTAATGGACTCATTTGTGTCTTATAAGTTAGGTAATAAGTGCGCTTCATCTTTCTAGAACTAAAGGCTTCGTGTTAAAAGGGGATAATGACAAGAACTGTTTTAAAAATTCACTACTGAATGTAGGCGTACTGCTAATTTATTTAAGCACACGGATTTATCATATTTTTGCATCAAAGTCTCCGATTATCATCAAGTTCCACGAAGCAACTACAGAATATGCAATGACCTTGTTAGAAAATTACCTTTTCCCTCGACTCTGAAGACAAGTTGAACAATTTTTCACAAGTACGTCTAGATTAAGATTCGTTTCATTAGGCGATTTGCGATACAATTAATAATTTGCGGTTTAACAACATTTTAAAACTTTCACGTTTAAAATTTTCACATTCTTATCATCAGAACTCAGTTCTGTTTAACCCAGTGAAGCAGAAGCTGATCTAAACAATATTTAAGAATCTAGTCCGTACCGCGAAGAAAACACAACTCTTCACCATTGCAAATGCCGTTTAATGAAATAATCGCCATCTTTGTAATAATTTGTTTAGGTCTCGAATTGTAAGCCTTCAGTGGTAATGTTCTCGCATTCTCCGAGGCTTTCGTCCTTCGTTATTTGCATTTTTAAACGTCTTGTGTGAACTATCATCTTTTAAGCCTACCTTCAGATGATCGTAAATACCTCGTAGAATTTAATCAAACGTGTACTAAAGGTTCGAGGGTTCAACAAGTACCGGACGGACAGACATGGCTTTCTGATTAAAACGTTCTTTGTGTTTCGAATAAGCTTGCGAAACCCGGACAAAAATCACTTTGTTATTCTGTGTCTGCTCCCGACATAAGGAAAGGTGAGATGTCGTTCAGCTTTTGATGTTATGCAAAGGAACTCATGAGGAAAACGAGCAGTGTAAGAAAAATGTCACATCGGAATTCGATATGAAAATAATATACGATATCCATTCTTCTGTAAATTTTGAGTTCAACTTTCATTAAAACGACCTTTGATATTTGTAACCTGTTCCAAAAGAGGAAGTTATGGATCATCTGGAACACCAACCACGATTACCTCGACGGAAAACAGTCTTTCTCCAAAAGCTGACAGTCGCCCAACCAATGAAACCTATCCTTAATTACTTGAATCCAGTCCACGGCATATCCTGATTTTTCAAAAGCCAAGTGAATATTGTCCCATCTATGACTAGGTCTTCCAAATTAAGTTGTTCCTTCAGGTTTTCTAAAATTCTTAATCTTCCTGTTACCTCCTCTCCTCGAGGCCCAGATATTCACCTCGGTAATCTTCGTTCCTATCTTTGGGTGAAATGGAAATACCATAATCACGTTTCTCCTATTTTATCGGAGGTCTAAAACCGATTCTCTTCACTTCACATCTTTTAGAATTCTCTGCACACCGGCTTCATGTTTCAAAGCATAAAAACTTGTTCGTTGTTGGCAAACAAATGTTAGGTTAGTGGCTAAATACAGCAGCAAATTACGACCACAGTTCCACGAAAACAAAAGAACGAATCTAAGCGTCCTTAACCTAAAATGTAACGTGTACGAATACATCTCGGGGCAATGCAAAGACAGATTTTTACATGGACAGAACCAACTCCCAGTGTCACCAATAATATATTTCCAATAAAAACGAATTTGTTCCTGGCGCTGGTGTTGGAAGCTGGGAACCCAAAATCCCACGTCTCACAACTTATTTTATTTTTATCTTAGATATAAAATCCTCTTTTCTCATTTCGTTCAGACACACAGTGGGGTTAAACGTAGACCTTAATAATAATCATAACTACGGAAATTGAAAAAAACCGGAGACAAATACAGAGCAATCCATAATTCATATTATGTTTCTTATTACGACGTGAAATGTGTAACGCAGGATATAAAATCAGTAGCCGAACTCATTTCTTCCAGAGATAAGGGCGAAGTACGGACCAAGTAATTACAAAGAGTTTCACTGTTTTATTTTATCTCAAAACAAATCAGGAACATAATTTAGCCACCAAAGCCTAAATGGTTATATCATTTCTCACGAAACTTTAGCCATGCCTGTGTGAAATGTTAATAGATTCATTTCATCACAAATTATTTATCAGCCATTTTTACACACTTCATATATTATTATTATTTATCAAGCTTTTATCGTCATAAACAATTTCCTGTCATCTCATAAATATTGTAAAACGGAAATATTATTAAAAAAAACATGAAACTAATTAAAAGTAAACTTAGCGATGAAGATATTGAAGCTCAGATGGATGACACACTTCAAATTAAATGGCAATTCTAATTATATCAAAACTAAATTTCATATCACATCGATCTGCCAGACCAGAACATTCATCACATGGCGTACACTTCAGGAAAATCGAATTAGTCCCTCACACGTCATCAATTCCTTACTGCAACTTAAAAAGAATCAAACCGAAATGCTAAACGTCAAATGTTACTACGTTGAAGGCATATTACAACCAAACCATCAAACTTTGCATCAAACGCCACGTCCCCCAAGTTACTACCCAATCTGATGGTCGATAATTACGATGCAAAACTACCCAGTCGATGTCGTTATTTATGACGCATCTAACTTCCGTGTTTTCTGCTTTATTTCACTGCCAAAAACATATAAGAAGGCTTTTAAACTGTACCAATGCAATAAACAAACCACTTACTCCTAGAACATTCTCTTCACCCCACGGCACGTACGGACAGAACCGGCGACAATCAGAAACTGCAGTCTGAACAGCGTTGGTACTGCCATCTACAAAAGTTCTGAATTATGAATCGAAAGCACGATTTCAGTGGGAAATGAACAGGTCTCCTGAAAGTACGGATTCATGCAAGGCACAAAACTGAAAGACAATAATTAAGAAAAAGAGACATAGTCAATTTATTATTATACTATAAATCATTCTTTATCAACAATTAACATTACGTAACTTATGGCACATAAACATTTTATGTTATTGAGTACTGATATAACATGGCTCTGGACAAAACATATACAGAGTCCAGAAATAATTCAATTCAATTCATGATAATAATAAAAATGCATTTGCTCCACGCTCAAAAGAAAAAGTCTTCTGGCAACACTGAACATCGCGTGGAATTCAAAACATCAGTCCACTTGGAAATCAAAAACTCGTATTAGTTAACATTAGTCAAGGCTTGCAGTTAGTTTGTGGCAAATGTCACGTAAACCAGTGGTATTCAACCTGGGGTACGCGTACCCCCGGGGGTACGTGAAATTTAAAAAATATATATTATTTTATGATAAACACTGAATAATCAGTAATGTAATTTATTTAATTTATTTTAGATGTAGATTATATACTATGTATAACTTAAATTATACACCAACAACTTTGGGGGTACAAAGTTGAAGAGAAATTATATCTGGGGGTACGCGAACAAAAAAAGGTTGAATACCACTGACGTAAACTACACAAAGTTTCTACGAGTCACGTAAATCAAGACACGCTCGGGAAATTGCATTTTAAAAACCGGCATCTTAAGTCCGTGGTCCACGGGCTGAAACGTCATATGACGGGAATTTGGAGACCCCTGATGTGTGGTTTTGAGCGTGCCACATTTTGATAATAAATTTCTGATGAATTGGTAGAAAGACAACTTTAAAATAAGGATTATCGAAGACTGTGATCACCTCGTGAGAACCCTGGATACCACAAGTGACTTGGGTACTCTTAAGACACCCGCATGACGTAAATACAGGGGCCCAAAATATGTTCCGAAATACTGACATAAAAAGAACGGACGTTGTTACTGGAACCGAAGAGAAACAAAGCCACGCTGGAGACAAGCTGACACGTGCTTACACTGTCTCGTCTTCACTTTAACCTTTGACCGTGAAGGAAGTACGCGCTGAGCGAATAATGAGACAATTCTGTGGAGACAATCCGGCAGGGGAACAGAAATGCAATATCAGGCAACGTGTTGAATGCAAGCAACGAAAATGCATTATGTTTACGTGACAACAACAAAAACAAGTGAACTACAAGGCGCTCAGAAACCAGGGCACTTCAGGGTGGATGTTGTTCAATTTCTGACTAAAGCACACACTTCCCTGAAGTAGAATCCTCAATAACACGAAGTTACTTCTTGAAAATCACTGGGCTAAAGAGTTCTTAAACCAAAATTTAACCTCAACAAGGGTTTATATCTAAACCAGTGGAAGATTTCATAAAACAGTTCCAGAGTTTAGGGAACAAGAAATAAGAATTTTCGCGATAGGCGGGCTTTATAAATGCCTGGAGACGTTTGAATTCTCGTAAAGTAGAGTTACACTACGCTACGTTACGCTAACCCTGGCTGGTCACTTATCAAAAGAAGTGAATCTTGCAGAAGAATTCCTACAAGTTTCACCTCCTTTAACCGATTAATGGCAAATGATTACTTGACTCAAAAGATTACCCCCATCGACCGACATACGCCATTCTAGTTCACAATCTGTGCTGTTTTACGACGGAACAAAGCGACGATCGAAATTAACTTCCAAATCCAGCCTTGAAGTGCTGAAACAATCAGGGCAATGATAAAACAAGCCAGAGGTTACAGATCTTCCTTTGTGGACGACGGGCGAGCAGACTTCATGACGGTGGAGTCCTCAGTGTCGCTGACGTAACCCTTCTCCCCAGTGTAGTGGGTGGGGTAGAGGAGAAGGGGCGAGGCGGACAGAGCCACTAGGTCCCGCTGGGGGTAGTAGCCCTTCCAGGTGTCTCTGAAACACGAGCAGACGAAGTAATGTTCAGTAGCCGGGACGAATCCGCGCGTTCCACGTCCGGAGCAAGTAAAATACGAGGGGGTTCTGAGGGGCAGCAGATGAGGAATTGTTTCCCAGCGACTGTACTTCGTATCTCGATGTCTCAATTCCCATGTAGGTTACAAAGTAATGCGTTTGTTTTCTGCACGCAAGCTAGTGACGTAGGCGAAACGCACAGTTTGTTCCCGGTTCCTGTAATTGCTTCAGTCTCCCGGTCTGCATCACCCAGGGACACTTCGTCGGATTCCTGCAGTATCCACTGTTCAGTGTTCGTGTTTCATAAAACATGTTCGAAGCTTCAAGTTCTCAGCGTCTTAAAACACGATGTTAAAATAAGGGTGGTTGCTACTTACTGGGGGTGTTTGTCAAACAGAATAGGCAGGTACTCGTCCACAGGCACCAGGTTCTCTAGCGGTCTAGCAGCGAGCAGCTTCCGGGCTCCGGATTGGCTGAGCAGGTACCCCAGTGTCCAGTACGAGTAGCCAGCTCGAACTAAGTATCGTGACCCGGGGACCCACGGTTCATCGGACTCGTGTAGCCGCTTGCGTCCCAAGTATCTGCAGCCAGAAGATCACTGTCACTTCACCACCAGCGCTCTGAATCCAGTGCTGGAAATCCAGGAACTAAAATACGCAGACGAAAACCTTTCTCTGGTTCGCACACTCGAAATTAAAAGTATTTATACACTTTCTAAAATACGCTGATGTAAACAAATATTTCTTCGTGTGGATTCATAATTAGATACCACTGTTTCGGAGGAACCACCTCCATCTTTAGGGTTAAAATTTTAATTTTTCTCGTTTAGTTACTTAAAAGTTCTATGAAGTTAAGTATACGCTAATTATGTAACCTGACGGAAAAGTCACAGTTGGTAGAACAGATTTAAAAATGGATCTCAAAACTACGGAATGGATCCATCTGACCCAGAAAAAGGGTCCAGTATTTGGCTACCATGAACATGGACCAGCTGAGTGACTTGCAATTTCTTTTCAATGGAGTCAGAGTTCATTAATTGCCTTCATTTAACTTAAGCTCACTTCACTTCGCTAATGTTTCCATATAGACTCTCATGTTCAGACCGAGGGGAAGTCGTTGTTACACTTTTGCATTGAAACATCGAACTGACAGAAAGTCACGGGTATCAAAACAGTTGATGATGTTACACGACAAGCTTTCTGCAAGATAAGAACAGCGGTTTAATTAAGCGGCAACCATCTAAGAACGGGACTACCGAGCAATTTCCCAGCGGCACAGAGACGTGCGCTGATTGATGAGTCCAGGAACACGCACACTTAACATTAATGGTATCCTTCATTTTCCATATTCAAGTTTCAGCTTTCGAAGACACTTCTCTACTACATTTCCTTCAGCCACACCAGTTACACAGCCGATACATTAATTACTACTGTCTATAATAACTAAAATCATTGAGCTAAAAGGTCTTTTAGCCCTCTGAAGCCTAGTGACGTGTAATCGTGGCGACTTTGTCCAGTTGCTCTAAGCTTAGAGGTCAGGTTAGGTTAGTTTAGGGTTGGTATATTAACTATTACCCATATCTTGGCGCCGTGAATGATTTGGTCACTACTCATGACGTCAATTCTTGTATTAATCTCGAGGTTTATGATCCCAACCTTCTCTATACGTCAAGACGTTTGGCGTCGCTTTAACACAATCCTGTGGCGTGACATTCCGAGGATTCTGTTTCTTTCATCTACATTTCGACGCTCGGCGTCGATTTTCTAGAATCGTTTCCAATGGTATCCGGGGTTCACACGCGGTTAATAATGTACATTTTATAGGCGTCGCGGTGGCAGGCGTCACGACGATTGGCGTCGGTTTGATAATTATGTTTTAAAGGCGCCTCGAGGTTCGCCAATGCTCAATATGACGTATCAACTGTCTGCCGTATTTGAACTCTCTAGTCGGCGTTTCGACGCTCGGCGTCTGTTTGTGAGGACTTTCATGTGGTGTCTCGATTGTCCTCTGGCCTGATTTAGAATTGAAGTGGGTGACGTTCAGCGTCGGTTCGATACTGTCGTGTCGGGGGGCATCCCGAGGGTCACATATTGATGAACATCACAGAAAATGTTTTCCCTAAATCGAAACCTCCACCGAGGCTCGAACCCAGGACAGTTTTCGATTATGCGGCTGTTGTTAAAATACTTTTTTGTAAGCGTCGTTGTTCTATCGAATTTAGTTGTTACGCGGCTGTTGTTAAAATACTTTTTTTGCAAGCGTCGTTGTTCTATCGAATTTAGTTTGCAAATTACAGGAAACGACTACAGCGGGGATCGAACTCAGGACATTCTGCATTAGTTCTGGCCCTCCTATGACATCTCCCTGGTCTTGAGAAACATGTATGCCAAGTTTGGCGCAAATCGATATATCCGTTCTCGAGTTTCAAGCGAACAAACACAAAAACTTACAATTTCTTCTTCACATGTAAGGTTATTTGGGCGAGATTCGGCTTTAAATGTAAAAGTGATTAATCTTTCATAACTGAAATCACACGCAAAAAGCCATAACATCAAAGAAAGGTTTATGTTTGATAGGAGACGGCAAAAACTTATGAAAAAAAAACATGAAAAATTTAAACTGACATCAACGAAATATAAACGCAATTCGTCTTAATTCAGCTGAAGATCGCTGTTTACGCAAATCCTGTTTAGAAACGGGCCGCATGAGAACGTAAGTCAGTAACAGCCTTCAACCTTCTTCGTAATGAATTTGAGACAGGACAAACCGCGGACAATTCAATAACAAAATTCGTTTAAGTTCCAAATGAAGATCAACAAAACAGGCCGAAACATATAGCGGGCTTTTCATTACACGTTTCGAAAGTTCGTTCATTCATTCGCCAAGTCAGTAAATTGTGTTCCGCCAGTCCTAGTTTCGACTTCTGCAGAAACAGATTTTGTGGTCGGGAAAATGCATTAAACATTTTGAATAGAACGACTCTGAGATGAAATTAATTATACACACACACACACAAGGCATTCACTCGCGCTAAATAGCAACAACTTAAAAAAGAATCACTCACAACCTAAGGACTGGAGATTATCCAAGTCTTATTCAGAGTTCGTATTTCAGACCACGTGATAAAACGTCTTAGTGTTATAAAATAACGCGAAGTTGATATGATAATTTCAATAAAACAATCAGCGTACAAGTACTAACAGTTGACATTTTGATTCAATGGCGAATGACATTTCAGTTTCATTCAGAAAGAAAATGGATCAGACATTACGGGCTTCTGTACCAGCGCGCGTTCCTCTCGCGTAGGAGCTGATCTCCGCACAAAGGACGGAAAAGCCTTCATCAGTTCGTATTCAAGATGGCTGATTCACTTACTACACCCAAGCTCTTTTCCTGTGAACAAGATTTGTTGTAAAATGTTGTAAATAGCTTTTAACGAACAGCTCAGAGGAACTGAAGTTCAGGCAGAACCAGTTCCCCTCCACGACAGTCGCCCAGATGACCAAGAAAAGTTAATTACCGTCTTCGCAAGAACCAGACACTAGAAAATAATTCGCGAGCCAACTGCAGAGGACCTGCAACGAGCCCATCCCCCAAGTAGGGCGACGAACTACTAACGTTCGCAGTTTTATCTAATGGCAAAAGGCGTTAGAATATCAACAAATAATTATCTATCAAACCACAAGAGAACTGGACGCATGAGGCCACAATACAAAATTTCAGCAAATTTAACCAATTTTGCTGACAGGCGATGGAGAGAGAAACGTAATTAGGTATTTCGTTAAAGTTTAGATTGAAACTAATTACGCAAAGAAGCTTAACGAACGATAGAAATCTAATTATAAGCGCGTTCAAGCTAACGACAAGAAAGTTAAGTGGGGGGAGGGAGACTAGATATATATATATATATTTTTTTTTTTACAAAATGGTTTGCTGAGAACACGCGCCGTGTTGAGGAAACACATCACACTTCATGCATTACGTCACGACTGAATCCATGGAGTGGAGACCTTACTGCGAAGCGAAAGGCCGTTCAGGTGGTCAAGCTGAACCCTACGGTTCATTACCGTGTTCACAAGAGCCCACCACTTTACCCTATCCTGAGCCAGATAAATCCAATTCACGCCCTCACACCTAATTTCTTTTGTATGCCTTTTAATATTATCCCTGCATCCACGCTTAGATCTTCTGAGTTCAACGAAGAGTTTTTACTGGATATATTTTAGAAAATTTAGTTTGCAGCAGGTTTATCGAATAGGCACGCACCACAGCTAAGAAACATGAGATTATTTTCCAGAAATCACCCGTTGTTAACATCAGAGTATCTGAAAAACTGACATGTCGCTACTTGCATTCATGTTAGAAGCGGACATGCTGGTCCCAAGTTTTGAAGGCTCGACATACAGAGTGTCCCACCAAAAACGTAACAATAACTGATACACATGTTCTGAACTTCCTTGCCAGGATACGCCCTGCTAAAACTTTCACGAACTCCATCAGACGATTTCGACGCGAAGTGATGTTCGTGAATGAACTCGCATGTTTTCACGTGCACAGCTTTTGCGCAACTGGCGCGAGCAGCGGCCTAGCAACCAGGGTAACTCTGAATCGAGTGTCACGTGGAAGGTTGCGAGGGTCTATTACACGGGGTGTGTGGAGGAGTTTTACGTGGCACACCCTGTGGTAGAACACAGTTTAAATTTGTTACTTCACTGTTTGTTATAGTGCAGCAGCACTTACGTGAAGATCCTGGATGGAGGATGACACTCAAGACAAGGCAACTACTCACACTAGGTCCCAGTCCAGTTCCAGCTGCTGCATCTCCGCCATCACGTGGGACACCTTTTGTCGAAAGAACGGCTCGAAGCGGATGTCGTCCTCCAAGACCATGACTCTGTTGTAGCCGCGTTCAACAACCTGACGAACACACAGCGAAACCGCACGGGCGCTCCAACTAAGACCACACTAAAACTCTTACCGCAATATTACTATTACTATTATAATCATTACAGTTTTTTAATTATAATGTGGACCCTGGGAGGATGAATCGATCGGAGGCTTCAAAAAATTGCACCTTACAGTGACGAGATTCGAAATTTGTACTTTGACCAAACACTGTCAGCGTAATCAAATGAGGGGAGCTGAGATGGGCGGGGAATGTAGACCGCGCGAGAGAGATGATAAATGCATGTAAAATTTGGCCTCCCTGTTCGCCCGACCACATTCCTGGGAAAAAATTGTGCTCCCCTAAAGCGACGTCTCTGCAGGGTTAAGAAGGAAGACTATCGGTAGCTTCAGCTATAGTTTAAGAGGAAAGGGTAGAGTGCACCTCCACAACAGCTGAAATTCAGGGTGGATGTATGTCGAGATGCAAACACGGGTCATATCGTAATAAGGTACACATATTTGTAAAATTTCTTCCTGTTGTGCTCATCTTATCGCAACAGAAAAATAATTAAGCTTTGAACGCCCTGGTATTAATTTATGATAACCCTGTATATAAAGTAACTTTCACAAGGCGAAATGTACACGCGCGCTCGAGAATAGAGCGTCACGTACGTTCCAGTCGATACGCACAACGCGATATTTCCCACATCGCACTGTCATAAATGTTTCCAAATTATATTTACGATCTTATCAAATTACTTTTCGGAACAAGGCTTTTATGTGGCCTGGTACGCGGGGTCGGCACATTTCAAAGCCTTAACAGTGTAGAAATACACGCGCTCTGCGTCTAGGCAAATATTTGTGTATTTGCTGACGTAGGAAGCAGGGGGGGAGGGGAGGGAATCAGGGCTGTATGAGAACTGAGAACCACGTGTCTGAAATACGGCCTACAGGCCTCAATAACTGTTCGGACTGAGAAAGGTGAGTTAGTGGACAATTTGGAAAATCAGAGATTCAAACATGGCGGCTAACCCTTTAGAAAGAACAGAGAGAGACAGAGAAAAATCAAAATTAAAATGTGGGGGAAAAGAGTAACACTTTGTAAGAACTGAAATAAAGTGAGCATGACGTCACCTTTGATCATAATGAACAATTTCAATTAAATGATATTCCAATAAGTGTTTAGCAAAGAAAGTCAGAATCCACTCATAAAACGTATTTTATCCTTGTCCAAGCAAAGCATAAATTCGAGTTATGCAAATTTTTCGCGTGTATCTGAGGTGAGAATAATAAAAAAAAGATACAAAATAACTTAGGCTCTTGCATACAGCGGTAATCGAAATTGTACGACCTAAACGAAAACCAAAATAGTTTGACACTTTTTCGAAACCCTCCCTTCCGAAATATTAAATTTAATTTTAAATCGGGTTATCGGTTCTGTAGTTGATTCACGCGATACCCCAAATCCTTCTAATCACTTGTATGGATCATCTGCTTTGTTCCCTCTCCAGCCGCTGAAGATGGGTTTCGGTAGAAACTAACCGACGTTTCAGAGGTACTTGCTTGATGGCATGATTGTTTTACATGCAACGAGGCACGTCCATCCCTGCCTGCATTTTCGGCGCCGGTACTCCTTAATCACGTAGGCATTTAAACATGAGACTAAAATCTCACCTGACGCCAGACGTTGTAATGGCTAAGAAAGCACCCGATTTCGCCCATTGTCAGCGGCCTGTAAGAAAAAGAAGACAACAAATCATCAGAAGGAGAAAACAGCGAGTGGGGGGGGGGGGGGGGGGGGGGGAGCAGTTTCGCTTCTAGGAGGATATAAATGGGCCCTGTCACTGCAAAGAAAGTTATGGCAGAAAGTAAGAATGGTTTGCTTTCTCTGTAAGATACTCCTTACCAATCCCCAGCTGTATTAACTAAAAACGAACACGCAATATGCTATTCAGAAAACAAAATAATTAAAAAAAAAGTAAAATGTAATATCGGTTATGAATCCTGCAGCTCCCCAATCTCATTCTTGGTCTACCAAGTGATCGTTTTCCAACGTGGTGTTCGAGTAATAAACGCACGAAATGTGGTGTCGGACTGAAAATCCCAATCCTTAACGAAATAAACTAACAGATGAACTAAACTTCCTTGAGAATATAATTTTAAGGTAAGTTCTCTGTAACATTTTTAATAAGCAGGCAAAACTCTTTAGGCTGCCAGTTATATTTCTTCTTAAGCTGAAATTAACCCTTTGAAAAAC